TTTCGTCGCTCCTCAACTACTTTTACCACAACGAGTTTTACTACAAGCTCGCCGGTATCGCGTCCTACACGATGGGCCCGTACGGCGGCGTCCGCGCGGCCATTCAGCTGCGCCCATACCTCGGCGAGCTCGGCTTGATCACGATCCCCAAGATCCTTCCGTTCCCGGCCATTCACGCGCTTCTCAACGAAGACGGTTCGGTCACGGCCGGCGCGGCGGGCGCCGACTCGTTGGCGGCCGTGAGCAAGGGTTTCTTCCCCGAGCTGCTCTGGTACGCGGCCAACCTCCAGGCCGGTCGCGCTGCCGGCACACCGTAAGTGTAGGAAGACGAAAGATATTATAGGCACTAGGCATGTAACATGATTGTCGTATACATCGATACATTTGCCAATCCAACTTGGGCTACGCTCTGTACTCGCAGTGACGGCGACGCTTCTCCGGGCTAGAGAAGGGTCTCGCGTAGCCTTCTTCTTCAAGTGGCTAGAGACTCTAGCCATTTGAACCCCAGAAGAAGCGTAAGTCACCACCTCGAGCTCCGCGCTGGCCGGTCGCCGACCGCCCTGGCTTCGTCGATGCCTTGGCTGGTATCAAGGCCTAGGTTTAGGTGTCGGACCGCACTCATTGCACGCTATTACCATAGACAGTTGACCTAGACTGCAAGCTACTACCAGTGTATGTGAACTATCCTGAGGTTCATTTCTACGGACACTCGTGTCGTTGTGTTGTTCGAGAGATATATAAAGCACCACGATGACATCCAAATGACGTTTTCTCTTTCACAACGTAATGATATTTACAACACGATTCACACTAACGACGTGGCGGACTTAGATCAACGAATCAAAACACGCCGTGTCGACGACGACGCGGTCCGGGTACAAGGCGACAGCGTCCTGAAAGTCTCTGCCAAGGACGATCGACGGGCCAAAATACATGTGTCGGGCGTACACGGTCTCGAAAAAGGTCGTGTCAAACCCCGAGCAGAGTGCGAGGAGCGAGAGGTTGTGAAGCTCGGCATCCGAGAGTGTTGCGAGCGGTGACGACGCTGCGTCAAGGCAGTGGACGAGCGTGGATTTGGCACGTTGATCGAGGTCCACTGCGGCTGGGACGAGCGCGAGGTCCATCATGCGG